GTAAAGAAAGAAATTTTGTTGTATCATATTCGTTTCTTTTAACGTGTTAACTTTCTAAAATTTAATTTTTCATCTTTAATGTGTTTTAGCTTCTCTAGTAATAATCACAACGATTATTCAAGTCCGTTATTATTGAAACGCTGTAAACTCAAAATTAGTAAAAATGCGCTCGATCAATTCGATCAATAAGTTATGATGATACGTATATATGCTGTCATTACCCATTGAACTGCGCCTATCCCTGCAAAGTATGCCGCGCAACCCGTCGTACTGCCCAATATGTATATGCAACACCCTGTACGTTTCGTTTTGTTTATCTTGCGACGTTTTTGAGTAAAAACTTTATGAGCGTATAACCAACGTACACATGACATAAGTTTGGAATTCTTGCTCGTCGCAAATATCAATGTGATCATCGTGGTCATCGTATATTTATTCTGCAGCCATGTAGTTTGCAGGATGAACGCTCGGACAGGAGCGAGCATCGTGTGTTTTGCGCGCGTTTTTCTTCATTTGAAGTGAATTTTACGCGTAAACGTACGTCGAGAATGTCGGTCGAGCAATGGGCAATCGTCGTAGAGTGTTGATTAGTATATAAACAATTGCGGCCATCGTGTCGTGTTGGATATTACTTTTTGAACAATTCCGAATATCGATGCGAAAATATATCGGACTTCTCTTGTCTCATCTTTAGACTTTATAAAACGTAAATAAAGGAATAATCTAACCTTTTTAACTCGATTTGCAAAACTGATGTTTTGCATCTATCACATCGTGGCGGATATCGTTCGCCAAGTTTCGGGCCAAGTTTTGATGCAAAGTTGCCATGTCATTCAAACTTTTCAAATGTATTCCGAAAATGTTAAGATATTTAAACGCGATCACGTGACTATCGTATGAGTATGACGCCACGGACCTATTTCGCAGCCGTAGGTCGACGCACTGCGCAGGAGACGCGGTTCTCGATTGATGCGTGTGCTCCGCGTCTTATTTCTATCATCACTGTGACAGGATGTTAGCAAACATCGTCCTGTGTTTCGCGAACATTTATCTTCATTTGAATTCCATGCACAAAAACATGTCAGAAGTGTCGATCAAACGATGTGTGCAATAGTGTGTGTCGTCATAGTATATTGACTAGTGCGTACAATCGTAATTATCAATCTTTCGATATTCGTGTAAACAATCGCGTCGTGTCGTTCTGCTATTGCTCGTTTAAGAATCAGTGCAAAGTTATCTCGGAACTTTCAAAATACTTTTTAAACATATTGATGTGTAAATCAAATGACAAGCGATCGTCGGAAAAATTAAATCATTGCGATTGTAATTCTAGATTCTAGAGTATAATCCTAACCTAACCTAACCTAACCTTCAATTTGCCGAATCTTTGAGCCGCGAGTTAAAATTGCTTTGTTTTTCAAATTTTTTCAACGTATGTATCTCGAAAGTATAACCAAATTTACGAGCGAATGTTGTCGGTTATCGTGTTATTTATTTGTTTCGAGTGCGTCGCATGTGTAATCGCACGCTGAGAGTGTCAGCCGAAGTGATGATAGAGGCAAATGATGATGAGTGGTTCTTTCGATGATAATCCCGTTCGATATTGTTGGCTTGCGATACTGTTTCATCGGACATTGTCGCTATGTTGAATTTAGATAGTTGATAGAATTATATCCCGTTTAATGGTTCAGATAGGTTCGTCGCGTATTTTGCATTTGTGAATCTCGGGTATCGGTCGTATCGTAAATGATAATTAGTGCCATATAAGAGCGTGTTTGGAGGCAATGGATTATAACATTGGAGCAAACTGCAACCGCGCACTTAGCGGATTACAAGGGCGGAAAATCGGTCGATGAGTCAATTTTATGTTACATGATTATTTGTATGTTTTTATAATATTTTGCAAATCATTATATTGTACTGATTGAAATATATTGATCCATTTTTGTGAGTAAAATGATTATGTTTAAAAAGAAAGTTTTATAAAAATTATGTTCTTTATCAAATTAATTATATTAGTGAATAGATTTTGTATATGATTATTTTGTATATAGTTTTTATTTAAACCACTATGGTTACAAAATTTTCAAATTTCTTGTTAACCAAAAAATTGATTTTTTAAGTAATAAGTTTTTTGAACAAATCATAAAATATTTCTCAAGAAAATCTATAGATTAAGACACCAATTATACATATCATACTGTATAATGCTATCTTTGCGAAATACGCAATTATTCACGCAAAATAATGATTTTCTGTTGTTTATTTTACCTGTTGTTTATATGGAATACCATAAGTAGCTGAGATTATTATATAACCACAACAAAGGTTAATTATTCGATAGCGCGCTTAATGCATGCCATGAATCGGAATCACTTGGGGCAATATGGATGATAATCATTTAGCTTTATCTGAAATCGACGAGAATTATTCGCAAAACCTCATTAAAATATTTACAAACCGGATTAACGGTATTGAGTAATTTACATCAAATATTAATAAGCGACATCATTAATGTTTCTATATTTTATTATTTTTATCTTAACAATAACTTTACAAGAATAGCTTTTTGGATTATTTTTAATAATTTTTTTGACAGCTCTTTTTTGATAAGTATTTTATCTAAATTGAGGCAATTGATCTATAATATAAATGTGCATCATAGGATACGTGACCAATAGCAATTCCGTTCCGTTTTATTCTTTTGTTTTTCACGTGTCGTGTTATTTGTTTCCGTGAAATGGCCATTATGCACGCAAAACTGTGCCGCATAGATTTATTCCAAACGCCGGAATTACTACGCATAAGATGTTACGAAAGTTCAATTTGAGTTTAAATCTTTTTGCTTATCTTCAAGATTTATCTAATTGTAAGATAATAACAAAATCTCAATAATACTAAATAATTTATTTAGTGTTCTTAAGATTATTAAAACGCTATTTCTAATTATATGAATAATATGTACTTGTTATGTGTGTCTTATGTTTTTTATATATCTAATGTATTTAGGTGCGTGCGCGCGCGCGTGTGTGTAGATATATTAAATATATATTACAGTAGTTATATTTAATATATTATACAGATCCATAAAAAATGTGTAAGACGTAACAAGTATATGTATATTATTTTAAAAATATATCTGAGTTTTTTATACATTTAATTACAATAACTCGTTTTTATATTAAAAATAAATTTTTGTGAAATTTTAATAAAATTGATTGATTAATATATGTATATTAATTGGCGTAAAATATGTCATGTATGTGTGTGTGTGTGT